GAAAAATAATACATTTATTTATCAAAGAAATTCATAAACAAATAGCAAATGGAGTCGTTTAAGCCTGGAAAGCCTGGACAGCATTAAAACAAGGGCAACATGTCATGTCTGTGGGTCTATATATGTATGGGTAAGAAGGAGAAGAACAATATCACAAAACCCTCTAAAAAAAATCTCCGATTGAGCAGTACTCATGGACTTGGTCGGAGAATTTCAAAAGCATGAAATCGATGGGAAACCATTTCTCGTATACCACAACGTTTTAAACCATTACCACAAATACACAGCCAAAACTCCTCCTCTAAATTAGCCATTGATTCCGGCAACAACCTCCCTCTTCAACCTCTTTTCTTATGCCCTATAGGAAGATCCGGATCTTCCAAGGAACAGAGAAAACAAGGAAGTGTATTTAAAGTGCGACACTTCCCCTCTCTTTGATGACACCAGCGACACTCCTCATGTCCTTCCTCTGTTTTGGTGCAACAATAAAGAAGCCGATCCAGAAGGCGAGTGCTATACGTGTAAAGTCCCCAAATTCGGTACAGGCTATTATTTCTGTGTCGAGTGTGATCAAAGGTTTCACAGAGAATGCGTCGAGTCACCACTTGAGATTAGTTATCCTTCCCATCCCAAACATTTTCTCCAACTCTACTTTTCTAAAGATAGATCTAACCTTTGCATCTACTGTAGAGTAAGAACAGCTTATTTGGTTTATTATTGTGCTCTTTGCAACATTTATATGCATGTGCTTTGTGCTCAGGCGACCATACCCTTTTTTATAGACCAACCAAAAAGGCATGACCACATCCTCACCCTTTTCCCTAGGCAAGCTTCTTTAACCTGCAATGTTTGTGGTTTGGTAAATAAACTTCATCTCACCTACGCATGTTCTATATGCAATTTTGTAGCCCAGAGTGATTGTATCTATATACCACAAACCATTAGAATATCTCGTCACCACCACCGTGTCTCACTTCTTCTCTTCCTTTTGAAAATTGTTCTTGTGGAGTATGCCGTCGAGTGGTTGACAGCGATTATGGAGCATACACTTGCAAGGTGTGTAGTGGCTATGTCGTTCACACAAGATGTGCATTGCGTAAGGATACACTACAAAAAAGGTGTGTAGCATCATTTATTTTATATGTTTAAATCAATTATAAATGATGTAAATATATTTTTCATCATTTATGTAAGCAACTCTAAAAATGGTGATGCAAATATTAACATCAATTAAAAAGACCGATACAAATATTTTCATTATTTGTATTAATCAATGCTAATTTGCATCGATTTAAAAAATTGATACTAATTGATGCCAAATACTTTTTTATCAATTAAATAAAAATCAATTTCGAAAATGTTA